TAGTCGTGCAGGTCTGAAGTACAGAGGACATAGCCAACTTCCAAGGCTAAGGGCCTCTTTTTCTCATGCTACCTTGCCCGCCACCTCTCCCAGAAGCTGGGAAAGTGTGGCAGCTATTTCGCAGTAGGAAGCAGAAATGGTGCCCAGTTTTTTGAAGGCACAACTCCGTTTGGCACTTTGGAGATTTCATCTTAAAGACAGTGTGAGGTTTTCCTGTAATCTGTAAATTTTGCTCATCTGTCCCACCATTATGTTATGGGTAAGCAGTGGCAGAATTTTCCAGATATACGCTGACACACATTAAAGCCTAATTGTACAGGAAAAAATATATCAGATAAAATTACAAAGCATCTAAAATATGACGTTTGTTGTATGTAGAGGCCGTGTCACAATGCCCATTACATTCTAAGCAAGAATCCTGATTTTTTTTTTTTTTTGGCCATGCAAAATGACATTTTTATATGCATATAGAGTGGTCTATAAAATTTCAAAATATTTTAAGAAATCTTTGTTTTAATAGCTTCAAATTATTTAAAAAAACTAGTGTCTCGGTGAGCGCTGCCATTTTACTACAACTTCCCAGCAGGAACCCCTGTCTGCTGACATAATTTGTGCTAAAGGAAGTGATGCCCAGCCTATGAATGCATGAGAAAGGCTAGTAGAGGCCTTAACAGTTGTTTTAAGGTAAGTTCTACTACTAACTAGTAGGAAGTGTATATTTTATTAGATTGAAAATCACTTGAGAAAATATTCCGAATAATGGCCTTTATATTTAAAAAAAAAAAAATGCAAAGTCTACATCTTTTCCTGTGCATTCAACTTGAAGAAGATAACGGCCCTAGTAAATTTGCCTGAAAAATATTTAAGCTTCCTCATACAAGATCTCAGTGTCTCACTGAGGGATTCAAGAGCAAGCTCTTAAATCCATGAGAACGTCTATTTTCTCATTTGCTGAAGTGGTTTTATGTGACAATTTGTCCCTCCCATCCTTTGCTTTTGATTTAGTTCTTCCACCTTGGAAGAATCTGTTGTGATCTGGAAACATTACAAACTGTCATAACTGTGAAATATTAATAAAGAGTAGCACTTTACAAGTGATTTCCAGGCTGAAAGCAAAGCAGTTGGAAGGTTCTAGGGTTCAGTTCTAAGACCTTAGGTAAGAGAATCTGGCAAGGTATCATGTTTTAAAATTTATATTTAAAGCAAAATCAGAAGATCGCATATGATTTAGTGTCTGTAGTTAAATTCCAGCATCTTTTATGTGGTGATACTTCATTTTTGATGACTTTCTGCTGGGTCTGAGGAATCAGAATGAGCATTACTTTGTATGGCTATTCAAATTAGTTTTTGGGGGGAGGGGGTAGACATGGGGGTCTCACTATTGCCCGGGCTGGTCTCAAACTCTTCGCCTCAAGGGATCCTGCTACCTTGGCCTCTCAAAGTGCCGGGATTCAGGCATGAGCCACCATGCCTGGCCCATATTAGATTTTTAAAGAAAAAGTCCTATTTCAATTACCCATCTCACTTTTTTCCCCTCTAAGATACAACTTAATGGTAGTTGAAAAGTAGGCTATGGGTATAAGTGAAACATTTGTTTCATGTGTGTTTAAGTTAGACATATGTTTTGGGTTCCAAAAATTCAGTGGTTATTTCCCCAGTTTGATTTTTCTGGAAATTCAGATTTTAAAAATTCCCATAATAATTCTGGTGATGAAGATTAAAAAGAAACTGGGGACATTCCCTTTTAACTGTAAAATTCACATCTATGTACTGTATCTTAAGAGTACTTATCCTGTAGTTTATGTTAAACTTGGGAAATATTTAATAAAAGTTTAAATTGCTAATGCAAAGGTTAAATATGAATTGGAAGAAAGTTTTTGCGAACATTCTTAGTTATTGAGATTGTCATATTAAACATTTGGGACAGTATTAAAAACTTTGAACATCGTGACAGTTGGTTCTTTAATACACTTTAAAAAAATCTCTCCTATGTTCCCTGTTCACCCTTGATATTTAATTGTAACCTAATTATAACCTTGAATAACTGACCAAGACCACTACTATAAAGATGATTCTTTAGCCCAATGGCCAGACTTCTGAGATGTTTACCCTTTTTTTGTTAATTATACCAATGCTGTTTCTTAATATGGAGTCTATATATAGTCTTAGCAGAGTTTCTTGTGCATTTTTTTAAATGTTCTCCAAATGGTAGAAATGGCTCTGTAGGGAAGCCAAAGTCTTTATACAGTTTCTCTTAGAGAAATAAAATTCTTTATCCTAGATCCGATGTCCAGTTTTCACAAGGTGATTGCTGAGAAGGTTCTAGGCGGCGTCTGTTAAAAAGCATTGCTTTCTGTTAATTAGAGATGTGCAAGCCAGCCAGCGCTCCATAGCCTTAATTGCAGAAATGATCCACACCGCTAGTCTGGTTCACGATGACGTTATTGACGATGCAAGTTCTCGAAGAGGAAAACACACAGTTAATAAGATCTGGGGTGAAAAGAAGGTATGGTTTTTTTGGTTTTTTAAAAATCTTTCTTGCCAAATCACATGCATTTTGGATCACATTTGTTTTTCAACCTTTTATCATTAAAACAGGTATGCTCAAATGTGGTCTTCTAAATTCAAACAAAAGTATTTATGTCTTATTGGCATACAGATGTTTAATAATAGAAACTACCATAGAAAAATAAATTTAGTAATTCTGGTTCTTCACAGTTTCTTATAGAATTCCTTTGGTTTTAGGAATAGGTATTTTCATGGATATCCACAAAGCGTATTTCATGGGGAATCATACATTTTACTTTTGGACTCAGGTTACCCAGATTTGGTTTAGATTCTCAAACATTTGTTGATTAACTGCCACATGTAAGTGTCAAGGCAAATATTAATAAAACTAAAAAAAGAAAAAGAAACCTCAGAGCGATACTGTTCTATCATGAAAATTTTACCTTTTGCAATAGCAGCTCTATAATTGGGTTTGGTTTGTGTATGCATATTTTAATGCATATTTCCATGTTATTTTATTAGCATTCCTTGAAGGGAGTGTGTGACATAGGGACTTTTGTTTAAGGATGTATAAATCCTGGGAATGGGAATAAAGTTGAACAAATAAAAATGAAGACTTACAGGCCTTTTGAGCTCAGGTGTCTGCGACCACACATTCCTCGGCCACTTGCCCGGCTGAAGAGCAAACAAAAAGTTTATGCAAACATAACTCACCTTCCTCGCCCTCACATATTTATAGAACCTGGTTCCTTCTTGTTTAATTATCCTTTTTTTTTTTTTGAGACAGAGTCTCACTGTATTGCCCAGGCTAGAGTACTGTGGTGTCAGCCTAGCTCACAGCAACCTCAAACTCCCGGGCTCAAATGATCCTCTTGCCTCAGCCTCCCGAGTAGCTGGGACTACAGGCATGCGCCACCATGCCTGGCTAATTCTTTCTATATATTTTTAGCTGTCCAAGTAATTTCTTTCTATTTTAGTAGAGACGGGGGTCTCGCTCTTGCTCAGGCTGGTCTCGAACTCCTGAGCTCAAACGATCTGCCCGCCTCGGCCTCCCAGAGTGCTAATAATTATCCTTATTAAAAGAAATACATACATATGTTCATTGCTATCTTCACATGTGGGTTTTAACGTAAATGAGTTTGTTGTGAAAAATCGAGTGCTACAATTTCATTTATACGCGATTTATTTCAAGTTTTAGATGAAAAGGTTTTATGTCCGGTGGACAGATTCCTGTTCATCAGCATGTTGGCAAAAAGAGGGCGGAGTCTGATTTTGGAGAGGACCTGGGTAACATCGTGATCCATCCCTGCGATCAGCTGTGTCCGTTTTCGGGCAGGGCCAGACTAAAGCCTTATTTGGAGGTCCCGGGCAGGGAAGGAGGATGGAGAGAACAAATGATGGTCTTCTCCTGGGCGAGCCCTCTCAGTGTCTGCCGCTGCCGTGGGGGCCTCTTTCTTAGGGCAGGTAAAGGACGAGGGTGCCGCCCTCACCTGCCTCTGTCAGCTCTGACATGGCTGCCCGCCAGGCCCCCACAGTTTTCTGTCTCTGAACCACAGCCACTGTGTCCCTGGTACAAAAAAACACTCACAGCAGGCCCTCTCTCTGGGCCGTTGTCACCCCTGGCCTGGCTTTGCCGGCCCTTCCTTCCTTGAGCTCCTCAGTCCCTGCCGTGCAGTTTGTGGCTTCAGTTTCATCTCCTGGAACGTTTTGGTTCCAGGGGTCCCGGGCCCTGAGCTGCTAAGGATGTGGGGGGCTACATGGGTGGACACATGCGTGGGTACTATGTATCATAACGTGTAAAACAATGTTTTAAGTGTGTGCTTTTATCTGTGTATAGGGTAATCTGTAAGTAGTTGCTAATACAGTGGAGGACATCACTCAAAATCTAAAGAAGATTGGAAAAATACTGATTACCTAGAGTTCAATGAAAAAAATGTTTTGTCCAGGAACGAGGAGCAATGCGATATAGTGCAGAGAGCACTGAACCCGGAGCCCGAATTCCTAGGTTTAGTTCTCGTTGAAAATAGTGTGCCACGCGCCAGGGTGTGCTCCGTACCAGCTGAGATGCTTCCCCGTCTGCGCCCTCTGGGGCGCAAAGCGTGGTGGCAGCAGCGTGCACGGGGTGTGACGCTCACACGGAAGGGAGGCCTCTGACCAGGCGCAGGGATGTGGGGAGACTTCCTGGAGGTGGCGTCTGAGCTGATGATGCAGATGAGTCTGCTCAGTGACGAAGGGGAAGGAGAACTTTTTGAGCTGAAGGAACAGTCAGTGGGAAGGCGCAACGGCACGCTTTGATCCGAGAGCAAACGATCCAGCGGAGCCAGGCCATGGGCAGCTGCGTTTCGGTGGGGGCTGTGGGGACGCTGCCCTCCCCCTCTAGGCATTCGCTGCTTCAGCTGTGAATCGGGGAGATAGACGCGGTCATCTCCGAAAGCCAGTGCAGTTCAACCGTTGTCCCAAATCTGTAACTGATTATTATGTAATCCTGCTGAGTTAGGAGGAGATGAGAAAACTTAACATCCGAGACGAGCCCTCCCTCCCATTCTGTGTTTATCTTCTGACAAGTCGGCCTCGTCGTTGTTCCATGGCTCTGATCCTCGTCTCTGAAAGTGTTTTTTTCCCCTTCTTTTTTCTAGGCTGTTCTTGCTGGAGATCTAATTCTTTCTGCAGCATCTATAGCTCTGGCACGAATCGGAAATACAACTGTCATATCTATTTTAACCCAAGTTATTGAAGATTTGGTGCGTGGTAGGTTGATTCTGATTTTTCGTCCGTTTTAATCAGTCCTGGTATTTAGCCAGGCAATAAAACCACATCTCAAATGACCCTGTTCCTTGTTTCCAGGTGAATTTCTTCAGCTAGGGTCAAAACAAAATGAAGATGAAAGATTTGCACACTACCTTGAAAAGACCTTCAAGAAGACTGCAAGTCTGATAGCCAACAGTTGTAAAGCAGTATGTACGTTCTGTCTTTTTTTAAGTTAAAAAACAAAACAAAACAAAAAAAAACACCCCATTGCTCTTTTCTTGGGAGCTAATTCTCCAAAAAAAATATTTCACTGGAGAACCTTAAAATAGTATCCAAAATCCCAAGAGGTCAATGAGGAAAGAATTACAACTCCAAACAACAGAGAACTTCTGCTGTGGTTTTCATTTTTGCTATCTTCTTCTGGTATGCAGACATTAACATTTCAGCTTTTCCTCCCAAGAATTTTGACTCAAAACAAGTTTAAGATTTTCCCCCATCTAAGTGCCACTTTGAACAACTTACCATAAATAATTTCTCTCGTAAGATTATTGTCACACTATTTCTGACATTTTACCTTTAAAACATTATGAAGTGCTGTGTTCTTAAATATAATATTTACCCAGGAGAAAATATCTATTAGATTGTTCTACATGCTTTTTTATGAGTAGTAGACACTTCCAGTATTTTTACATGAGGTATAAACAGGCCATATTGCTTCAGAGTATAAACTGAATGTGAGCTGTAACTTTTCCTCTGCTTTCTCCCTGGCCTTTCTTGTGTTTTCCATATGTATACATATTTTTTTTTAAAACCAGTGTTATCTTTAATGTGTAGACTAATGTGCGGTATTCATTGTTAGCTCATGAATGAGAAACAGTCTCTCCATAGAATTGTTCATCTGACCATCTCTTAGCCTAACAGGTTACAGAGACAAAACCTAGACAAGTAATAGTCCCGTGTAATTAGAGGCACAAGAAGGGAAGACCTCTGAGGGTCAAGTATAAATTGCTGTCGTGATATACTCCTAACATAATTAGAGTGAAAGAGCTTTTTCTCTCACCCGTCACGTGAAAAAGTCCCTTGCTGATAGTGTCTGTTTTGAAAAGTGTCAAGAAATGTCTAATTGTGAGCAGAAAAAGAAAAGAATGAGGACATTTCCTTCCTAAAAAGACCTAATCGAAACCCTAAAGAATGTGAATTATGTAGAACATGCCAGCTACAATCTCAGACATTTTTGTCTTTTTCTTGAAAGGGCTATTATGTTTATATTTCCAAGAAATTACAAGTGTGTTTTTTTTTAAAAAAAGAGGCAGGAGAAAATGCAGTAGACACTGGGTGCTCAATAAGAGAATGGCCCATTTAGAGTGGGTGCCAGAAAGCTATTCATTGAGTATCGATGGCCCTAGTCTCCCCAGAGATCAAGGTCCACCCTCTTATGGCACACTAGTGAGTTAAGTGAAGCTTGCTGATAATTTCACAAGCTTGGGACAGCCATTTATTTAGAAATGCTAGGCCGGGCGCGGTGGCTCACGCCTGTAATCCTAGCTCTCTGGGAGGCTGAGGCGGGC